TGTGTGTGTGTGTGTGTGTGTGTGTGTGTGTGTGTGTGTGTGTGTGTTTGGGGGGGCTGTTTGCAGGACTGCTGTGATACTGGGGCAGCCTGGTGTTTGAGGAGGAGGCTGTGACCCACTGAAGCCCACTGAGTTCCAGAAATGCCCCAGGCTTTTGTTACCATGCACACAGATGTACGTCCCGTCCAGATCTGTCCCCTAACGCCACTTCTTTCTCTGCTCCAGGGATAGGACCTGTCCTTGGCCTGGTTTTTGTCCCACTGATTGGATCCGCCAGCGACCACTGGCACAGCAGCTATGGCCGAAGGCGGCCGTTCATCTGGGTGCTGTGCCTGGGAGTCCTGCTGAGCCTCTTCATCATCCCTCACTCCAGCACCCTGGCCAGCCTGTTTGCCCTCAATCCTCGCCCTCTGGAGATCGCCTTCCTCATCCTGGGCATTGGGCTGCTGGATTTCTGCGGTCAGGTCTGCTTCACCCCGCTGGAGGCACTGCTCTCAGACCTCTTCCAGGAGCCAGATAACTGCCGCCAGGCCTTCTCCATGTACGCCTTCATGATCAGCCTTGGGGGCTGCATTGGCTACCTGCTTCCAGCCATTGACTGGGGGGCCAGCTTTCTGGCCCCGTACCTGGGAGGACAGGAGACGTGCCTCTTCAGCCTCCTCGCTGTCATTTTCCTTGGCTGTGTGCTGGCCACACTCTTCGTGACCGAAGAAGCAGCCGCTCAAGCAGATGCTCTGGATGGCCCAGCACTGAAGGATGCTCTCCCTAAGCCCTCGCCCTCTGCCTGCTGCTCTTGCCAGCTCTCCACGAGCCTCCTGCAGGCCAGGCACATGATGCAGGCCCTGAGAAACCTCTGCACGTTGGTGCCACGGCTTCACAGCCTCTACTGCCGCATCCCCAAGGTCATCCGGCGCCTGTTTGTGGCTGAGCTCTGCAGCTGGATGGCACTCATGACTTTCATGCTGTTCTACACTGACTTTGTTGGGGAAGGGCTGTACCATGGTGTCCCCAGAGCCAAGCCAGGCACAGATGCCAGACGCCGTTATGATGAAGGTAAGAAATAAACTGGGTTGTTCGTTTTTTTTCTGAGGCTACAGGAGTATTTCGAGGGAGCTGGGAATGGGTTCAGCTCTGCCAGTGATGCAAAAACACAGTTAAACTAGATTTGCTGCAGCTGGGTCAGGAGAAAGCATTTTGCCATGACCCACAGTGGATCAAATAGGGAAACACATCTGTTCTTTGATCACAGGAGTAGAGCTGGCAGTGCAGCCCCTGCCTGGGACTCACTGTTGTTGCCTGCTGTCCTCTGTTTAGTTGCCCCAGAGCCTTGACTCCACCATTCAGCCCTTCTTTCCCCCCACAGATCTAAATCTATTATTCCTGGAGGCACTTCCCTGGCCCTCCTTCCCCAGCTGTGTACCTTGCCCTCCAGGTTTTCCACTCACTGCCTCTGCAATACACTGCCTCTTTGTGCCAAGTGTCTGTTTAACATAGAAGGAGCTTAATTATTATTTAACACTTGCACTGTAAAGCTTCCTGCAGGTCAGGGCTGCATTGTGCTAGCAGTCACAGAAACACGTGTTGAGTAATGATCCTCGCTTCAAAGAGTTAATGGTTTTAATTCCCTGAAATCTGATAGATCTTTGCAGAGGGTGAGGTCCGGATTGCTACCGGATACGGCAGTTGCTCAGTGCTTGTTGTATGCTTTCCCTTGGCTGAAGCACAATTTCTTGCTCCTTTTGTTCCGTTGCTGCTTTAGGCATCAGATAACAGATCCTGGTTTATGGGCAGGTGACAGATCTTGGCCTAGAATAAGGTGAGAACAAGAACTTTACAGAAGAACGCCATTAGGATTCCCACCTCCCATCGCCCCTGCAGTCAGGCCGAGGAGTCCAGGAGCAACGCTGTCAGACCCCGCAGGGGCAGATTGAGGCTGGAAGGTGCTCAGCTGCCTGAGGCCCATTGTGGGCCATTGTAGCAGTGTCTGACCCTCTGTTTCCCTGCAGGTGTCCGGATGGGAAGTTTGGGACTCTTTTTGCAATGCGTCACCTCCATTTTCTTTTCGACAATCATGGATCGGATGGTGAAGCAGTTTGGGACACGAGCTGTGTACCTGGCCAGCGTGGTGTTCTTCCCTGCTGCTGCCTTTGTCATGTGCCTTTCCCACAGTGTCACTGTTGTCACCATCTCTGCTGCTCTGACGGGCTTCACCTTCTCTGCACTCCAGATCCTGCCGTACACGCTGGCATCGCTGTACCATCATGAGAAACAGGTAGGGATCTGCTCTGGAGCTGCCAGCACAGCTTGGGTGTGCAGTGGGAGCACACAAAGGTTCTCTTCCTTCACCTCTTATCCCCAGGCTGTGTCCTCTCTGAAGATTCCTATGACATTTAGGAGAGAAGAGAGCTCAGCATCTTCCTGCCCTGAGCACTGCCTGCTCACAACTAGCATTAGGAAGTGTTAAGAATTGGGGTGGGAGCAGGATGGGAGAGAGAAGCGAATGAAAAGTGGCATCCAGCATCCCTCTGTGCTCTCAGAATTGTTGACCCGAGGCCCCGTTTACAATTTTTGTCCATATAATGAAGATCAGTGAAACGTAAACTACGATTCATCCTATCCCTCTGGCTCCAAGAAGTACAGACATTGAAACCCCTCTGACACCAGCACCAAAGCTAGTAATGCCATCCCATAGATGATATCCTTGTGGGAAAGTCTTAGGAGGTTCCTGAGTTGTGCACAGGATTAATAGGAGTTTCTCTTGTGCTGCAAATGCACAATTAATTTGTGGCTTGAGAGCAGCCCTTTCATCCCCATGGTGAAATAAGGAGAAGTTCTCACTGCAGGCATCCAGATGCTCACATTGAACAAATGCTTCTGACCAACCTGTCCCGATTTGCAGCAGGCACTGTGTCCAAACAGGGAGATAAAGGAGTGCTTGGCTGGGATCTCTTACGGACGTGGCAGAACCAAACCCCACAGGCTGTGAGTGCAAAGGCCACACATCCAGCTGCTTGATGGGCAAAAGCTCCAAGTACAATGAGATGGGGCACAGCTGGGTTTGGTCTTTCTGTTGTCTTAGCTTGAAGGCTTCTCCTTCTTCCCTCAACTCCAGCAGGCTGCAGGGAGACCCACAGAAGGCATCCCCATGCAGGATGTTCTCCACCTTCATCACTTTTTTTCCTCTGACTATTGAAATCCATCATCACTTTTGCTTGCCTTCCCTCTTCCCTGCTTCCTTTCTTCCCTCTCTTTCTTTTTCACCTTTCATTTATTTGAACTGCTCCCAAACTGAATCAGCAGAGGGGCATCCAGAGCAGCTGTTACTCCCATCCCGTGCAGGATTGTGGTGACAGCTGCCAGCCCACCTTGGCTGGAGCTCCATGCTGTGTGCAGGCTCTGTAAGTCACTCTGTTCTGCTTCATGCCCTCCCATCTTTGCATAGCCACTAAACCTTGTCTGGAATGGGTGGAAAAGACCCACATGTTCTAACAGCACCCGAGGGCACGGTGAGTGGCGTGGTGAATGTTCACACGTGGGCTTGGGGAGAGGTTCCTCATTGCCACCACTTGCCATCAAATGTAGAAGGAGACGAAGCTGCTGATGGTGGCAGCAGCCCCTGGGTTGTGTGCTGTATTACATGGGCTGATCTGAGAGCATATATCCTCACCATGCTCACTCCTGTGAGCATCTGAAGTCCTAACCTGAGCAGGATTCTGGGAGCATCGATGCAAAAGGCTGGAAATGTGGGGCACATCCAAGTTTGGATCACACAGTGCCCTTCCTGGTGGTAGCAGGAGCCACGTGGGCAGACTTTTGTGCTCCACGTGAGATATGGGACAGCCTGGGTTTGTGCTTCTGAGCCCAGACTCGAGGGGCTGAAGGGTGCAGTGAGCAGCTGAGCAAAGCCTGGCTGTTGCAAGGAAAACCTTTGGAAGCTGATTCCTGCTCTGTGAAATTCCCGTCTGGTTTCTCTTCTCTGATGGGACCTGAAACTGTTTGCCTTGCAGAAGTGCAGCCATGGCCTGGGGCAGCACAAACAGCGGCTGCCTGGTGCTGACACACACTGGGGCAGGGCTGGGTGCAGCTGGGGGGATTCCAGTGCTGCTGAAAGCTCTGGGGTGGCTGCAATGGGGCTGGGGAAGCTGGCAGTCGGTGTCCCTGGCCCTCTTGCACAAGGCAGGGTCGTTCAGCAGGTCCTTCTGTGCCATGGAGCTGGACACAGCGTTCTCTGCTCACAAACAAGCACTGTTTTTTCCTTTTCAGTTTCTTTGTTTGCTCTGTTTCATCATGCGGACAACAGTTGAACGCGTCCTTCCTTATCTGCTCTACCCTATACAGGCCAGTGGTTGTGCATAATTGCAAATACCCTGGGGTTCTATTACAGGGCTCTGCAACGTTTTTGCACCCGACTGCATGTTATTTATGGCTGTTCACACGGAGAGCTTTTTGATCCAAATACTCTGTGAGTAGCACTCACATGGCTGCAGTGAGCCATGCCCCAGAGGTCGCACAGCCTGGGTGCAGTGAGGCACAAGAAGGTGAGAAGGAAAAGGCTTTTCTTCCCCCACTCTCGCAGCCTGAGTGGGCAGAGCATCTCACTCGAGCTCTGCGCAGAGCTGAGCCCCCAGCATTGTGCCCTCACTGATGTTGTCCCTCGTATCCCAGTTGTTAAGGAGTCAGCCTGCTTATAAAGGCTTGTCCTTGTGCCGGGGGGGGATGGCTGGCTCTGTGATGCTCCCAGTGCAGGCTCTGCCCCTTTGCTCCTATCCCAGCAGAGCACCTCAACCTCAGGTTGTCACCACCCCAGCAGGTAGGTGACAACCCAGGACTCAGAAACACCACATCCCCAAGCGCAGGGCTGGCATTGGGCTGCAGTGCTCTGCTTCAACGCAGCACAGGCACCTCTTGGCTGCTTTCCCTGTGAGTCAGGGCTGCTTTGAGCCCCGTGCCAGCTGGGAAGAGCCATGCTGGCTCCTGGAGGCCATCTCACGTGGACCAGGCTCTCCCACCTGCAGCAGCACACCCAGCACTCCCAGCACAGGGTGGTTTCGCTCCCTCACACACTCTAAGCCCCCCACCCCGACCCCCCACCTCGCTCGATGGCCTCCACCCTTCCTCCTCATTCCTCACGTGCCCTCCTTCTTTCCACCAGGTATTTTTGCATAAATACAAGAGCAAAGAGGAGAGAGACGCAGCTCGATCTGACAAGAAATCATCCTTCCCCAAAGGCCACCTCTCCAGCCAAAAGCTGCCTTACCAGAACGGACACCCCGGGGGCCTCTACTCCTCATCCTCCTCTTCCTCCTCTCCCCCAGCTGCCAGCTCTGCCCTGTGTGGCAGCTCCTCCTGTGATGTCTCACTGATGATGATGGTGGGCGAGCCGGATTCGGTTCCTCCGGGCCGAGGGATCTGTTTGGACCTGGCCATTTTGGACAGTGCTTTCCTCCTCTCTCAGGTTGTCCCCTCTCTCTTCATGGGGTCCATCGTCCAGTTTACGCAGTCGGTGACTGCCTACATGGTGTCAGCTGCCAGCTTTGGCCTCGTGGCCATTTACTTTGCAACCAAAGTTGTCTTTGATAAGAGTGACATGGCCAAGTATTCGGTGTGATGGCGAATGCACTGGGGGCAGCACATAGGTGCCAAGATGAGGGGTGTGCACATCCCCATGGCTGCTTGTGGGGTGCTCCATGTTGTTTGTGCTGTCCCCGTGCTGCTGCTGGGAGCCCCAGTGCTGCTCTGGGGCTGGGGATGGCAGAGGGGTGGCAGGGATAATCTCAGGTGTAAATAGGAAGCACTGGGGGCATCGTGCTTTGGGCCATCAGTGCTTTCCACACAGTGCCTTTCTCACAAGTAAGCACTGCACAGCCAACACCAAAGGGATTGCACTGGGGGGAGGAAGGAATCGGGCTTTTCCTTTAGTAATGGGTGTGGGGAGGGGGGAAGAGCCACTGGCTCTCCTGCCTTCCAGTGATGGATGTATCCTCTGCCCCCACTTGCTGCAGTTGTACTCAACCTATTGAGTAACGCTTCCTCAAAGAGGACACTGAGAGGAGATTCACCTTGGAAGAAGGATGGGAGCTCAGGTTTGGCTGTGGAGCAGGAGGGATGTGTGTCTGTTCTGACAGGGAGAAACCACCCAGGAGAAAAGTCACTATGGCATGTTCTGGAAAAACAAGGAGCGTTTCCTTAGGACCGATTCCAAAAGATGACTTATCTTTTACCTAGGCACCAAATTGCATCAGATGGAAAGGACTGCTTAACATTTTTATTTCTTTTTTTAAGAATGATTCTTTTTAGCTTTCCTTTAGCTGGATAACTGACCTCTCTCTCAGTGCCCAGAACAGCCTCCTGCTCTCTCCCAGCGCCTCCTACCAGATCCAGTCTGATCTGCACCCCCAAACCCGACCCCTGAATGATGCTGCAGCATCACGAGGGTTCAATCCTGCAGCGAGGGAGGAGAACAGGCAGAGCTCTCCATGAAGGCGATCTGGGAACCAAACACATCTCATCAAATTCTAATCTGCTCCAAGTGCCTCTCAATCCCATAACACTGGGACCGGTGCTGCTGGGTTGGTCAGCCCTCAGATGTGAGTCACCTCCTGCTGGCCCGAGACAAGTGAACCAGCTGCACCAATGCTCTGCCACTCAGAGATCACCCCTGTGCTGAGCAGGAGCTGAGATCCCAGCTTGCAGATAGCACTTAGGTTCTGAAATGGTGCAGGCAATGCCCAGAGTGAGGCATCTGGAGGCAGGGCTGGGGGCTGGGACTCAGCAGCCCTCAGTTTCAGCTGCAAACAAAGTGTTTGTGACCAATTTTCAGTGGAGGTGTGTGGGCAGTGAGATGTGCTGGTGAGGCACTGCTGAAGGGCAAAATGTTGCTATTTTTGCAAGGTGGTGGCAGAATATTCCTTGGCATGGAAGTGAGATTACTGCCCTGCTGTTTGCAGGCGGGTCCTAAGAGGGCTTCTCCTCACTGCTTTAAACGCATCTTTCCCGTAAGGGGTGACTTTTTGTTTTATTTCTCCTCAAATTATATGCCTACCAGCTTCCCTTTCCCACAAGAAGCCCCGTGTGCTGAAATGCAGCTGTTTTGGGAATGGATTTGCAGCTGCGTGAGCATCGACGGAAGCGGTTTTGTGTGTGTGCTTCCAGCCCTGGTCTCCGTCCACCCCAGACTTCAGGGGGAAATCCTGCAGGCAGAAGGTTGCTACCAAAGGTGCAGCACTTCTTGAATGCTCGCAGGGATCAGTAACCTTTGCAAAGAGGTCCCTGCATGAGTTGCTGGAACACTTTGCCATTTGTTTAAGTGCCTGAAGAGTGCTTCCACAACACAGCCCCGGGTGTGCAGGTGGGATGATGAGGGCCTTGAGAGCTTCGTTAAGAGCATCCAAGTGATGCTTGAGAGAGCAGTGGGCTCAGGGGGTTGGCAGCCTTTGCTCTGAACATCTTTTGCTTTGCAATGTCAGAGCCAAAGGTGGGGCAGTTCTTCATCCTTAACTTCATAGCTGTCCCTCGAGAGCAGAAGGCTGAAATCTGCCCAATTCCTCCATCCACAGAGGTGGCTTTGGAGAAGTGATGTACCAATGGCCAGGAGTGGCTTGTGGTGACATTGGGTGCTGCAGGCTGGGTGTCCCAGCTGAGCTGGAGGGCCTGAAGTCAGTCCATGCTGGTTGGGGCCTCCACTCTGCCCTCTGCCCTCCACTCAAGCCCTCTGATCACCCATCCACATCTGCCCTGTGTTAAGGCTTTGGTGCCCAGGTCTTGGTGGCAACTCTGATCTTACACATCCAGGGAGGTGCCTGCATTTCCTTCATTTATGTTCTGAAAAGGCCATTGAGCCCATGGCTGTGGCTAGCTGCTTTTGCTGCTTCATTCCAGGTCGGTGCCTGGGCACCTTGGCCTGACCTGGGCGATGGTTGGTGACAGAGCTCCTTCTCTGCAGAGATGTGGTCCCATCTCACCATCCATTCACCTCCTGGCTGTGCTGCTCTTGTTCCAGTCAGCTCAGCAAGTGTGAGAAGAGCTCCTGGTTATCTACCAAGAGGCTCTCTGATTTCTCAGCTCCCTCTCCCCCCTTCTTTCCATTTCCTCAGCTGGAGTGAAACCCTGCGGATCCTGTAATTGCTCCTTTCCTCCTTGCCCTCCTATTACACAGGAGAAATCTGCTGGGCCCTCTGCCAGCTCCCAACACAGTGGGCAGATGGGTGCAGGGAGGAGCTCTTGCCAAAGCCGTTGCTCTTTGCAAACCCTGTCCCCTGCGGGAGCCCAAACCCAGACAGATGGGGGCTCTCTGCAAGAGAGCGCTGCAGAAAACCACAGTGTGCAGCCTGGTCCTGGATCATTACCAAAAGCCTTTTTTCCTAGGTCAGGATGTCACTGAGGCTTAAAAGAGAGGCATTTTCCAGGATACGTACTGAGAAACTGCTCTCTTCATAAGATTGTCCTTTCTGGGTGAGCAGTGTGCTGCTAGGACCAGCTCCCTGTGTCTGCATCCCACACAGCCCAGCAGGGGACACAGGTATGTTCTGGTAAATGAAAGCACACCCCTTGCACACTGTTACTGATCTAACCAGTGCGAGCACAGAATTCTCCTTTGGACTTGATCATAGTGTACAATTTGTAGGTATGGATGCAGGCTTCTCAGAGGCTGTTGCTGGGAGCCCTTCTGTTTCTGTAGGTGCACTTCTGCTTGGGTGAGCCACGCTGTGCCTCTCCTTTCCTATTGCAAGGTGGTGATTCTGGGATGTGGAGGGGAAAAGGGAGAAAGTATTTTCTAACAGGAGATGATTGCTGTGGATTCTCCGGGTGAGGGAAGAGCGTTTGATGCTGTTTTTTCCTTTCGAGATCACATATTGTCTGCGAGACGCGAATGTTTTATTTATTCAGTAGAGTAAATATTTTGTATACGATGCGAGAAGAAGGCTGTTCTAATTTTATTATGTAAAGGAGGAAATTAAAGGTGTTGGACGGACGGACGGACGGACGTTGTGCGTTACTGCCGTGCGCCGCAAGGGGGCGCCATCACCGCGGCGGCTCCGCAGCGCTGCCGCTCCGCGCACACAGAGCGCGGCGCCGCGTTCCGGCCGTCGTCGACCGGCTGCGTTAAACAGCAGTTAAACATCGTTAAACAGCTGAGATTTCCCCAATTCCTGCAAGGAACCGCGGTAATATCAGCTCTTACCCCGTGCCTCAGGTTTGTATTTAAGCAAGTGGCACCCGAGGGTGTTCTCCCACAGACAGCGATGAGCTGCCCTGTCCGAGCGACCACACGCCTTCAGTTTTTGGTTTGGGAGTTTTTGTTTGCTTGTGGTTGGTTGGTTGGTTGGTTTTTTGTCCTGCTCAGACTTGGGAGAGCTTTTCTTCAGCCTCAAATTGCTCTCTAACAAAGCAGAGGAACGTACATTCATTTCCTTGGCTTTACGGTGCTCTGGCAGATGAGTGTCCTCCAGTCTCTGCCGTGCAAACAGCGACAAGAAAAACCTCATTTCCTACAAGGGCGCTTCCAGCCTCAGAACTGTTCACCTGCTTGAAAATACCCCAAACCCCAAACCTCTGTCACCATCAAACCCTACGAGTGCTTGGAGACAGCAGAGGAAAACGCGATTCCCTGCTCAGTGCGTTTGCCTCCACGCGGGGACCTCACGCTCTCGGTTTTGTTACTCCGGTGCAGACTGCAGCTACCTGCTAGGGCACGGCTACCTTTCCCTCGTCCTTTTCTTTCTCTGAAACGCTGAAAAAGGAAAAGATAAGATAGCAGAGCCGGGGGCATCTCCTGCGGGATCGGCCGCAGCGGCGCAGCGACGCGGAGCCGCCCCCCGGAGCCGAACCCCCGCGGGGCGGAGCGGGCGCGGAGCCGCCCCTGGGCGATGGGACCGCGGTGGCAGCGCGGAGCCCAACAGGTGAGGATGAGGGGCTGCCGGGGGGTGAACCGGGCCGAGATGCCCCCGGCTCGGCTGGAGTCCGGCCGTTCCCGATGCTCCGGGTCCGGTTCGGGCTGCAAACACCCGCGTGTCCTTGACTGGGTCGGAGCGTGTGGGGCATCCTTTTATTTCGACGGGATCTGCTCCACGTGGCACCGCTGTAAAGAGCCTTTGAACGCGTTTTGTCCCTAGGGCTGTGGGAGGGCAGGCTGCGCCCCGAGGTAAGTCGGGGTTGTGGGGCTGCGGAGTTGTGGAGCGGTCATTCAGCGCCGCTCACACTGACTTTGGCCCGTGATTTTCCCTCTGTATGAGAGCTGCACGTCTGCGGAGTTCAGGCAGTGATTGAGCTCCTGGGAATCTGAACAGCTACAGGGGTGGAAATGCAAGGTGAAGCTCGGCAGCAGTGCTGACCTTGTTGTGCAGCACGTTGGCTTGAAGGCCAAAGTGGGGCCTCGGTGTCACTGCAGTGCTTGATCTGGGGTGACAGAATGGTGGATGTGCATTTCTGCGGGTTGATAAGTCACTGCTATCTGTAACACATCCCCGATGTCCGTTAGTGGAGCTCCCCATTAGTTGCCCTTTTCCCCTCTGCGAGGTCAGGCATTGCTATTGCTGCTCTTAGAGGGCATCAGAGCTCTGCTGGAGCTGCACGAGGCTGCAGGAAACCTGCCCAGGTCTGCTCAGCCCCAGACCTTCCTGCCCTCTGGTTGTGCTTTTGTTTGTGTTGCTCACTCAACAGAACTGTTGGCTTTGGATTTGTGGGATATATACTAAATAAACCTTCGGAGCTGAGGAGTTCATGGTGTAATTCAGTTATCCTTGGGGGCATTCTGAAAGGATGAAGACTTCCTGAGCTGCTCTGCAAGGTGGAAAATCAGGTTGGAAAACAGCAGTGTTTGGTAGCCAGAGGGGGAAGGCTCTTGAGAGCCTCTGAAGCGTGCAGACGGAGCTGATGAGAGGGTCAGAAAGCAGAGATTAGAGGATCAGAAAGCTGGAACAGAGGCAGGGTGCGATTTGGTGCTGCCTTTCAGGTGATGATTCAGAGCACGGATTTGTGTTGTGATGAAAACACGCAGCCTGCAGGCTGAGGTTCGTCCAAGCCCCGTCCTCACCTCGCATAGGAGCACAGCTGGCTCTGCTCCTCACAACCTGTTGGCACAGAGCTGTGCTGGGGACGGCTGTGTGCAGCCCCAAGTGACACAGTGCAACTCTGGGCAAACGGGGAGCTTAGGTGGGGATTATTTCTTCTTCAAGGAAGAGCCTTTCTGTTATATCCAGGCTGCTTCTCAGAAATTCCCTCTCCCAGCTCGCAGGACCCTGGGGAAGCACTGATAAGAAGGACTGGCTCAACTGGTTTGCAGCTCTGCAGAAATCTCATGGACTTGTTTACTCTGGAAAACACTCCTAGGTGACTTTGGCATCGGTTTTCTTTCTCTTGAAAACTCACTTTCCTTATTAAAAGTCCAAGGCAAGCAGGCAGGTGGGGCTGTGCCTCACTGGGTGTCTCAGTACTGTGATGATTCCCATCTGCTTTGAGCTGTGTGCCCTCAGGGGCCCTGTGAGCTGACCCCAGGTGGGCTGTGTCTGTCTGCACTGCTTTCTGAAGGAGTGCCACAGTGCAGGCTGACCTGCTGGATGTGCTCAGTGCCCCTCCAGGCACCACACGGTGCAGCACAGCGGTGCCCATGTGTTCCCTGGCAGCTCCCACGGTTATTAATGGTTCCCAAACCATTGAACCTGGTTGTGATACGTCTGTGTTAGGTTGTCGTCGTGCCAATGTCTGGAGAAGCCAGAACCATCCTCTGGATCTCCACTAACACCCATTTGTGAGCCACACGTCGGCCTTTGCCATCCAGCAGCACATTCCTGCCCTCTGGTGCAGGTGGAAGAATTTCACTGTGTAATTTTGCCTTAATAAACATCCCAGAGAAGTTTGGTTCTGGGAGGGATCGAGCCCTTAGCAGCCTCCATAGGAAGAGTGTTGGCGTGTGTTTTTTGAGCCGCAGCATCTTTATTATCAAACAAAGACCACTGACTGCTTTTGCTGTTTTCTTTCTAAGGCACGGTCTGTTACACTCAAAGCCTGGAGTTTTCTTGCTCGTTTCCCATTGGAAATAACCTTGGTGGTGTTCCCTTGCAGATGAGCAAAGCCTTCCCCAGCCGAGGTGGTGCAGAGGCTCCTGATCCAGCCCAGCAGGAGCTCGGTGCAGGTGGGGGATGTGGGCCGGCCGGTGCTCTGTGTGAGCAGCCTGGAGCTGCCGACCCCTTCAGGTTCTTTGTCCCAGCAGCACAGCATGCCGCCATCCCTCCTGCCAAGGCACGGCGCCAAGGAAGGCCCTGACCACCTCCTGGAGGGCAGCCATGAAGGCAACCCACTCCCCCTACCAGAGGCTGATGGGGAGGAGGAGAAGCCCCCCCTCACTGCCTGCGAGGGGCACCTCCAGCTGCCCGACTTCTGCTGCCGCCTTCCTCAGGACTTCATCCCCACCTTGGAGGAGATCGAGGAGTTCCTGAGGGAGAAGGCTGAGTTCCTGAAGGATGGAGAGGGCGAGCAGCACGTGGCTGGAGGGAAGGTTGAATCTGAGACCGGTTCGGGTGGCTCTGAGGGACATTCACTTCAAGCAGACGGCTCAGATGGCTCCCAGCCTGGAGGGACAGCAGATGGGAGCAACCAGGCAGCGGCTGATGGAGACGTTCCTGTTGTCCTCCATATCCAGCCTTTCCAGCTTGATAACAGCAGCCTGCCGGCACAGCCTGCTGTCAGAGTGACCCAAGTGGTCATCAGCTTACAGGGACAAAACCTGTCCCTCCTTCCTCAGCTCCAGTCCCCCGTGACCCTGATGGACCAAAAGTACGTCAGGATCGCCCCGCTGCCCAACCCAATGGGAGCGAGGATGCTGGGGGCTGTGCAGGATCAGGAAGCAGCCCCTGCGTGTCCAAAAGCCTCCACACGTGTCCACAAGTGCCCACAGCTGGGCTGCAGCAAGGTGTACACCAAAAGCTCCCACCTGAAGGCCCACATCCGCCGGCACACCGGGGAGAAACCCTACAGCTGTGCCTGGCCCGACTGCAGCTGGCGGTAAGTGGGAGCCATGGATGGGGGAGGAAAAGCAGGTGAGACCCTTAAGGAGGCCCAGAGGGAAATAAAAAGTATTCTGAGTCGCTCTCTGGCAATGTAGTTTGTGCAGCTGGGCTACAAAAATGGCTCTTCCAATGAATTCTTCTCCCAGAAAACGGGAGCTGCTGCTTCCTTCCCATGTTGGCTCAGCCGTCCCTTTGCTTTCTCTTGCTGTGTGCCCACCCTGCCTGCCTGTGTCCCCCCTTCTGGGCCTGCAGCATGGCTCCTTTGTGCATATTCTCCTGTTTGCTCTGTGCACAGCATTGCTTTCTTTCATCTCCATTCCCTAAATAAACCACCCTGCCCTTCTCTGATTGCTTCCTGCTGCTGTGCTCTCTTCCTGGTACCACATGCTTGTCCTGAGGGGCAGGATGCTCAGCACAGCCTTTGGCAAGGAGGGTTAACAGTCCTCAGGTCTTGCATAGTGCTTCTCCTCAGCAGGATATCACAAGGAAAACTGGTGCTGGCAGCACTGAGCTTCCTTGGTTTCTTGTGCAACGCCTTGGCACCACCTCGCTGCCTTGATTCCCTGCACGATGGAGGATGGCTGCTGTCTCAGGAGGAGCTGAGACTTTGGAACTCACTTTTTGCAATAGATCTGGAAAAGAAGTAGTTGTGCGGATGAGCTGAGGACGTCCTTGGGATGCATTTAATCCTCACAGAGCTTTTGAAGGGCAAACGTAATGTTTGCTGTACCAGGTGTGAGCGTGAAATCCTATTGCTGGGAGTCTGGGGTTACATCTGAAGCTCCTTGCTTTGTGCTTCTTTGCGTGGGCACGTTTCAGCCAGATGGAAAAACCCTTCCATCCTAATACTCCTGCCATCTGTGTTGGCTCCGTAGAGGCAGAACAGGAGTAAATCCTGCCCAGTCCTCCTGTCCAGCATTCCCCTGGCACTCGGGCATGCAAAGCACGCTGCAGTCCCACCGACTCCCAGCC